CATAGTATTCCACTTTTTAAAGAGTTTATTCAATTATCTTATTACTTGTATCTTTTTCTTCTTTGTTCCAAGTCTCCTTTCCTTAAAACAAACTTCTTCTTAATCTCAATTCTTTTTCGGGTTGTATATTTGCAGAGTTTGCTAAAAAGGGATGGAAAGAGATGGGATGTAAGTTTTAGCTTTCTAAAGTGTCTCTGTGACTGTGGCAGTTGTCTTCTCAGAACCACTGATGTCTCTCAGTGTCCGCCAACTAAAGTTCTTTACCTTCTGCCACCACCATCACCTCAGTCTGCCTAATGTTCTAGGCACACAGAGTGCTTCTCCAGCACCCCTTCTCTTGCCTATGTCACAATGATAAGCTCACATTAAATCCGTCTCTGCCTGCAGATCTGAGCCTTCCTTCAAGATCTAAGATAGTGTTCCTTAAATGCAACCTCTGCTTCTTGGGTTCAAGTGACTCTCCTGCCTCAGCCTCCCGAGTAGTTGGGATTACAGGTTCCAGCCACTATACCTGGCTAATTTTTGTATTTTTAATAGAGACAGAGTTTCACCATGTTGGTCAGGCTGGTCTTGAAGTCCTGAGCTCAAGTGATCCGCCCACCTGGGCCTCCCAAAGTACTGGGATTATAGATGTGAGCCACCTTGCTCGTTCAGCTCTGTGCTCTTAAACACAGTGCTTAGGGTTTCTTTTTCCATATTTTGTAAATATAATTCAATTTTCTTGCACAGAGTAGGCATTCAGTAAATGTCTTAAAGTATCATAGAATAATCAGAAATCCTATTTAAAGAGGATTAAGCTATAATCTCTAATGCACGTGTACCTGCTTTTTTTGTTTGTTTTCACTAGTTTTAATTTACACAACGCTTTGTTTCCTGTTTTTTCTGTGCTCCTGCACTACCTGCTGAGAAGCAGCAATAGACCATATGCAGCTTTGGTATCATTTTCCTGGGTAGTTTCTGGCTAATTTGGACTCCATTTTCCCCAGCCTCTCATTATGAAAACTGTGTGGGAATCCTTCTCTCTATGCACCTTCTTGACTTTGCAAAACCTTCTACAGTGTTGTCTCACTAATGAATTGCCCCGTGTTCCAAAACTACCATGTTTCTCTTTTCCTGGTCATGTCCCTTTAATATGTTTTCTTCTTTACATTTCAGCCGCAACTTCACCCATAACTTTGATATCAAAACTGTTTCTAAAGATCTAAGCTTATAGTCATCATACTGTCAGTGTGTGTGTTGGGGGGGGAGGGGTGTGGTCTATCCTGTACTCACCTTCCCTAGTCCTTCCCAGGCTCTCTCTTTTTTTTTTTTTTTCCACTCTAGGCACTTCAAAGTGGAACAATGGGTCCATTTAGAGTATTTATTTATTTATTTATTATTTATTTTGTAGAGAGGAAAAGATGCCTCTACAAAAAGCTTGTGAAATTGATGGAATATATCTTGAACATTGATATCTCTTTCAATGCTCTTCCTTCCATCTTTAGTCACTACTTTTGAGTCTTTTCTATTCCCTACTATAAGAGTAAAGTGTCTCTTCTCTAGTGAAGAGTGGTGTTCATTCTTTTAAACATGTAATGCTTAAACATTCCTTTTTACTGACAAATAAAGCGACTATATCTTGTGTACAGTTCCTGTTTGCCATTTTTTTCATTGAGTTTATAAGATTTTTTTTTTTTTTTAAGACAGGAGTCTCACTGTCACCCAGGCTGGTGCAATTACAGCTCACTGCAGCCCCAAACTCCTCAGTTCAAATGATCTTCTCACCTCAGCCTCCTATGTACCTGGAACTACAGATGTGCACCACCATGCCAGCCTAATTTTTTTTTTTTTTTTTTTGTAGTGATAGGGTCTTGCTATGTTACCCAGACTGGTCTGAACCTCCTGGTCTCAAGCAGTCTTCCAAAAGTGCTGGGATTACAGGTGTGAGCCACTATACCCAGCCAATAATTATTGTTTTTAATTATGACAACACTTACCTAAAGTATAACTGGTTTATATTATCAGTTTTTCTCCTAAAATTGTGGTATAATGTCTATTTCTGTAACCTCAGAAAAAACAAGGGTGATGGGAGGTACTTGAGAGTTCTGCCAATGAAAACTTCACCTCTTGCTGGATTCATGTAAGAGCCATATTAAACCATTAACCATAACTTGTTTTGAAACAGTTTGGAAAAGTAGAGAGCAGAAAAAGATAATCCCACTAACAAAGAATATTTTTAAAATATCTATCACCTATCAATCAATAGCTTGACTCTTGCTTAGCTTAATGGTAATAACCTATAAGCATCCAAGAACAAGTAACTAATGCCAAGAATTTTTTTTTCTTCTAAGAATGGGAAGGCTGAGAAACCACAGGGATAGAAACAGTAATACTCAAATCTTCCAAGTGTTTATTACAAATAGGAGTTGGAGGATTGGAAAATATTTTCAAGGGTCTCCTCTATTAACCTGCAGGTCCACAGAAAACCGTCCTGCGCTTGGTAAAGTGAAAGATAATTTTCACCTCATATTTAGGAAGGAATTTTAAATAACCTTGGGATATCTATCAAGATTCACTAGCACTATTTCTGAAAACTTGTTTGTTTTATTAAGTATTAAGATTTCATTACCTGGTAATTTCTTATGAATCTAATAACCTAAAAGCAAAGTTCAAGAAATAATCATCTTTCCCTCTTTATTGCATTTCTTAAATAGCACACTATGTAAACTGTTGATTTCTTGAGAATAGAAGCAGGAGTTGTCATAATAAGTTCTCAAGAGCTGTTTGAGGAAAGATTTTTCTTTTATTTTGATGGAGAAATAGACACAAAAACTCACTTAAAATTAATGCAAAAATAAATTTCTGAGATGGCATCGCCATGTCTTCATTTCAATAATAACAATAACCAAGTCCCATGTAGAGGCCATTACTGATTTCAATTTATAACAAGATGATTTGTGTAAAAATGCTGAAATTGGTATCATATCTTTCATGCTAATATCATTTGAACCTCTGCTTTAACATCATGCTAATTATCTGGTACTTTCTGTAAGATAAAGATCAGTGTAACATGATTGCCGTTGCTTTTTTCTTCTTCAAGAGAAATCCAAACATTTAAAAGGTCCTGAGTTGTGAGTGATGCAACAGAAACAATTTTCGAATCCTCTTACTGGATAAACAGGAGGATCTTCTGTAATCTACAGTTTCAGACACATGTGCATATCATGAAGGGAGTGTTTACCATTTCCAATAGCCATCATCTTAGAAAGTCAGATTGGAAAAGCGGAGTTAGGACTGAGAATGTTGTCTCATTGGAGGTTGTTAGGGGGCACTCACATGCTGTTTTGCCCGTGGAGGCTGCTGGTAGGAATGATGATTTCTGCAGGAGAAGGGATGTTGGTGCTGGCCTACTGTAAATTAAGCCCTTCTTTTACTCTCTTGCCTCTTAGTTTGGTGACTGTGAGATTACCAGTCACATGTAGTCACTGATGACTGCAAGTTGAGGTTCCCTACAAATAGCTGTATCTTTAGAACCGTGGCCCATTTTGTCTTGGGTGTAGTTTGCTTGGAGTACAAAATAACTCGGTGATTTTGTGATTTCTTCTTCTTTTTTTTTTTTTTTTTTTTTTTTTTTTTTTTTTTTGAGGGATTCCATGCTTTGCTTTAGACTGGATTATAGTTTTTGTGATTTTTTTTTTTGAAGCACTTTTATTTGATGTTTTTTAAAGATGTGATATTTAAAGTGTTAAAAATATAGATATGGGTAATTATCTTATAGAAAATGTATATTTTTTAGGATATCACCACTATTCCTTCTATATTAATGAATCATGCTCTTTAGCATTGATGAAAGTTTCACTTTTGAGAATAGTAGACTTTGTCAGGTGTCATTTTGAGTGCCAGAGAATGGTTGATTTGAGACAAGAAGAACAAAGTTTAAGAAAGAAAATAAATCTAGCATTTGCTTAATAATTTGCCCTTTGCAGCACCAGAATCTTATGTGACCACCCACATTCATCTGGTTACTGACGTGGTTCTTGCTTCAATTGCAGAAGCTATTTTTGCACCTTTTGTGTCTTTTGAGGAACCGAGTGGGCCTACTTGCTTATAATGATTCATGTCTCAAGTGCACAGGGTGTCCTGAAGTGCTACTGCAGTGATGTGCAGAAAGGAGGGGGGAATTAAAGCAGACTACTTCCTTTAAGCACTTTGAATGCTCACATTAAGTGGTACTGCAAGGAAAGCACATTTTAGCTGTCATGTTTTAATGCTTTAGTCCTTCCAACGAGAGTTTTGCAATAACTTGTCAAGAAGAAAGAGCAATTTTTTTTTAAAAAAAGGACAAACAATTATGGGTAGCATATATTTTTTATGTAAGTCCTTTATACTGGGAGATAAACTCTGTTAAGGTCGTTGATTAATCTATTTGGATTAGGTAGTTTAAGTTTCCATGCATTTCTTTGGATTGTACTTAGATAAATATTAATTCTATGTATGAAAATTTCCTTTCTTCATTACTTAATAAACTTTGTAAAGTCTTAATTTGCTTTGGTTGGTTTTGGATTCCTATTTCAGAATTTAATTTTAGCACAACATATATATAACATTGCTGAAATAAACTACAGAAACATTTATAACGAGGTTATCTGAGACTTCATCCTGTGAAGTTTAGCTGCTGACACACCAAAAGAAGTTCTGTGGACATCTCCGCTTTATGGCAGAACTGTATCATGGACTACAGTGACACAATTTCTAGTTCTGATACGTGAAGTTTTAACTCTAGCATTTCACTGTTACAGGGAATTAATTCCCTTTAAATACAAGTATTTATTCAAAATATTTAAACTGTGTTAAAAGAAAGGAAATTCTTTCTTGGGGGATAAAGAGGGCTTCTTGAGAGATCCATTTCCAAATTTTCTTTCCTAAAGGATGGCAGGTTCTGTGAGTGAAGAAGAATGAGCATGCTTATTAAATTCATTACAGGAGTCATCATCTTTTAAATCTTCTTATTCATCTTTTAGGTTCCCAGAAGTTGTGCATGAGTTCCTGTGCGGAGAGTTGGCATCTTGGAAATCAAAGACCGTTGTGATGCAGCCTTTTGATATGAGGATAACAGGTTAATAACTAAAATTTATTTATTTGTATTCTCTTTTTACATTAAACTTGAAAAGCTGTTTTGGCCCGCCATGAACTCATCTATAAACTGATTTTCTCATCAAATCAGGGAGGAAACAATATATTTTCCACTTAGTGTGAAACCTGTGTTTTGTTATATTTTGTTTTTCATAGTAGACCAGTCTTATTTATAATTAATTATCGTTGTTATAATTAAAATATCTTTCTTCGACAAAATTTATTTCTACAAAGTTTATTTTCATGTGAAACTTTACTTAGTTAATCCTAATAACTTTTGCTGTATAATAAGAAAACATCTCAATAGAAAAGTGAAATTGCAATTTTAAGAATTATTTTAAAAGATATGACAAAATATTAAAAGCAGTATGCTGCAGTCAAAATAAGTCATAACTATCTCGACTAAATCAGCAAACTCTGCAAGTATATGATGCTTGCATTACAGCCCATGTGGAAAAATACGGTTGTTTCTCATTAGGCTTTAAATATCACATTAGATATTAATTACATCAAATTAGAGGACAATCATCACAATCTTTTTACTCTTCTCTGAAAGTTTTCTGAATTGCTTGCCGTGATTGTGTATGATATGGTTTTCTCCGCATGGTGGTGACTTGCCCATTTTAGAGAGAACTGAGGTTGTTAGGGGAATTTTTACTAAAAGAAGTGTTTATAATAAATTTGGCTCCAGGAAGGCACCTTTTTAAAAATCATCCTGCGGAAATAAGTCTTTATTCAGCAGGACTCTGGCACTGGTCACACTTTCTTGGTAGTCCTTTTTCCCTCATCCAGTGCTGTCTGAGCATGTACGTTCTGAGCAGTGGTTGGGCAATGAGTATCTATGTGACTCGTGGAATCAGTGTTACAGCGACTACATCCTGGGATGTTCATGTCATTTTTAAAGATTTTACAATTGATCTATAGCATTTTAATAACAAATACAATGATGTCCCTTCTAAAATGTCATTCACCAATGATTATCAAAAGACCCATATTTTGTTTACAAGTGTCATATCACCAAATCCGCAAGAAAAGATCAAACGACCACTTTAATGTTTAAAAACGTTACATTATTAAAATGTTGGAAGTGGAGAAGCCAGTCGTTTTTGTGGCCAGTCATTTTATACCTTCATTATTTAGGATGTCATGATTTAGTGCTCACTTGACTTTTGCCACCACTCAAGTAATGATTAATTTCCTGAGGTAAAGTTTTCTCTGAGATAGTGTTTTTCTAAGCAAAAGATCCCAGACTGACAAGCCTGGGTACTGTAGGCCTTTATTCCTCTGCAGAGCAAGCCTGTCTTCCTGCCAATCCCACCCCACCGTTATCCTCAAGAGACCTCTGAGTAGGTCCATCCCCGAGGATGTTTCTGTGCTTTTCCTTTGGGAGCCTGTTTGGGAAATTATTTAACTGGGTGCCAAACTTATTTGAGTGGGACTCTGAAGAGTGGCCAAAGGACAGGGCACACTTCTAGAAAAATGCCAGCTCTTCCCTGTTATACCATTTTCTTTCGCTTCAGTTCCTTTAGTTCCATTACCACTGGAATAGCCATGTAGAGGTAATATCTTTTTTAACATGACCCCTGTCTGAAAAGTGTGAAGAGTCTGTCAGACAATGCCTGTCTTTACTGTCTGGAGGACTCCTGTGGGCTGTAGCAGTGTCCACAGGAAACCCAAAGTCATATCCCCTGAGTTTTATTCTCCAGTAAATTATCTTACTCCTTTCATAGCACTCAAAAACCACTAGAGAAAATTTTTAACTGTGAATGCAGAACTGTATTTGGAATATTGCTCCTTTGTTGGCAGTGAGTGCCAAAAATGACTTTGCGTGGGTTTGGTTACCATAAAAGGAAATCTCAGTGAATAAAGTGATAATTTGCTGTTTTCTTATGAGAATTACTCTCATAGTGCATTTTTTGATGTATCAATTGATTAGGAAACCTGGTGTATATTTTTAATGGACTATTAGAGAATCTGAAAAATGAATTGACTCTACATGGTCATAGAGAAATATTGTAGCTGTAATTAACCATATTACTATAGATCTTTATAGTTCCAAGTAGATCTCTGTTGAAGAAGTTAAAATTGCAGGTGGATACAATGGTACATTTAATGATGGGTAATAATATTATGAAGTCCAAAAACAGTATTTTCCTAGATGTATTGATCCACTTAATAATATAGATTTCCTTCTCTGGCATACTTCTTAAAATGTTTTCTTATCCATAAGCATTTTTATACATTTTAGAAATAAAATGAAAGCTCAAGAATTTATGCCATTTGGAAGAGTTAGGTTACTTAGTAAAAGTGTCACCTAACAAAACAAGACAAATGCCATTATCTAATCTTAAATTAAACTTTGAAAACACTATTGTTTTTAAGGTGAGTTTCTTTTCCTCATTATAACTTCATTGAAGTAGCAAAGAAACTTTTGAACCCTCCCAAATCCTGCTTGTTTTTAAAGAGAAAGTCATGCCATGCTCAGTAATAGATTATGAGGCACACAATCTCCATTGCAGAAACTTTATCGTTTCCGGGATAAAGCAGCTGTAGAAAACTAATAAAAATAGTCTCTATTTTTAATGGTTCATAATATGATCAATAAATTCCAAAAAGAATTCATCACTCACTTTCTCTCTCACCTACCTTTCTCTACATGCCTCAGAAACTCCAAGAAGAGATGCAATTTTGTGGATAGCAGTTAGTCAAAGGCTTCCCAAGGTTAGTGTTGGAGAGAAGAAGACATCCTCAGACATGTTTCTAATCAAATGTGAAAGGTTCATGTGAAATAAGCGTGACTTCTAGTTCCCTAGTAAGCCTTTCACTGAAGTGAAAAATGAGACATTTGGGTCAGAGAAGGGGTCCCTGTAGTGCCGGAACCTCTGGCTCAGGCACAAAGATGGAATCTCTTCCTGCACAACCCAGGAGAGAAAGCATGGTGTGGGATATCATCTAGCTTCCTGGTAAAATGGTGAAGCATCTTGGGTAGGCTTGTCTTAGAAATTTAAAAGGAAGATATTTTTTTGACAGAAGCTATTTACATAAATGAATTAATGTTTTGAATCTTAAAAACTTTCTGGATAATAAATGCTGTTGGAATATGGAATGATCCTATGTTAAACTTAGAAAAATTGATTTTTTAAAATAAAATGATAGATAACATTTTTTCTGATTATCCTCCCTCCCCTAAAAATTAAAAATTAACTTAATGGTCTGAACAATTAGCTTAATGGTCTACATATGTTTTTTTCTGACCACGAGATACCTGCTTTTGAATTTTATATAAGTCACTTTTCTTCACCTTCTGGTATATTCTCTGGTAGCAGAATATTATTTCTGATTTTTATTTGATGTATCTACTATGTGATATGTCCTTAGTGTGTAAGAATGGTTTTATTATTTTAAACCATAAAAATGCAATATATCTGATTTATAAAAGTATTACCTTTATAAATTTTGAAAACATTGTATTTTATTTAATAACTAATTGAAAACATGTTTTATTTAATAACTTATCAAATAAATCATTCCAGTCTTGTTTTTTAGAAAATATAAGTACTTATCACTGGAGGTTTATGGTGTTTTTTGTTTTGTTCATTTGTTTGTTTTGAGATAGAGTCTCACTCTGTTCCCCAGCCTTTAGTGCTGCAATCATAGCTCACTGCAGCCTCGACCTGCTGGCTCAGGTGATTCTCCCACCTCAGCCTCCTGAGTAGCTGGGACTACAGGTAACTGCCACCACATCTAGCGAATTTTTGTATTTTTTGTAGAGATGGGGTTTTGCCATGTTGCCCAGGCTGGTCTCAAACTCCTAAGCTCAAGCGACCCACCTGCCTTGGCCTCCCAAAGTGCTAGGATTGCAGGCATGAGCCACGATGCCCAGCCCCTGAGACGGAGGTTCCAGCACTTTATGTTCAGAGCAAAATTATATATTTGATGTCAAGTAAAAGATGGAAAATAATACATACCTAATTTTCACTTGTAAGGTCCTTATTTTCCTTAAAACTAATGATTTTCAAGCTAGGCATAGTGGCTTGGGAGCTGTTTGGAGGTGAGGTGGGCGGATCACGAGGTCAATAGATCGAAACTGTCCTGGCCAACATGGTGAAACCCCTTCTCTACCAAAAAATAAAAAAATAAAAAATTAGCTGGGCATGGTGATGCACACCTGTAGTTCCAGCTGCTTGGGAGGCTGAGGTAGGATAATTGCTTGAACCCGGGAGGTGGAGGTTGCAGTGAGCCGAGATCATGCCACTGCACTCCAGCCAGGCACCTGGTGAGAGAACAAGTCTCTGTCTCAAAAACAAAACAAAACACTATTCTCAGCCAGGCAAGGTGAGGTGGCTCATACCTGTAATCCTAACACTGGGAGGCCAAGGTGGGTGGATTGCTTGAGCCCAGGAGTTTGAGACCAGTGTGGGCAATATGGCAAGACCTTATCTCTACAAAAAATACAAAAATTAGGTGAGTGTGGTAGTACACACCTTTAGTCCCAGTTACTTGGGAGGCTTATCTGGGTAGAATTGCCTGAGCTCAGGGAGGTCAAGGCTGTAGTGAGCAATGATTGCATCACTGCACTCCAGCCTGGGCACGAATGAGACTCTGTCTCAAAAAAAAACAAAACAAAAAACCCCCACTATTCTCAACTTTTTAGTATCTAGGGAATTAGAACTAGGTTGGTTACATTTTAAAAAACTAAGTTTTATATATAACAATCTTATATCTCAGAAAATATCACTATGATGTTTTTATAATATTTTCTTTCAGTTATATTTGAGTCACAGTGTCAATATAAGGTTTACTATTCTGGTGTAATGTTTTCTGAAGCAGTTTCTTGCTTTTGTTCTATAGTACATAGCATTGTGAACCCTTTATATAATGAACTGGAAATTGGAATTTGTATTTGTATATATCAATGCTATGGTTTAATGGAACAATTTTTCCTAACTGCATTTATTTTGTATCCAGGAAGCGTCGGGACAATCATGCCCATGAGAACTCTAAACTGTTCAGGTAATCATGTCATTTTTGAACTGTCCTAAAAATATGCTTTCTATATCATGAAGACTTTATAACTGTTTTGTTTAGATGAAACCTTTTATCTTTTCGAGAGTTCTATGACATCTGATTCTTATAGCCTTGATGTCATTTTACTCATCACTGACTTTAAGCTGTAAAATATAGCTAAAACTTATAGTAATATATAAAATATGAATTATTTATTATGTATTTTATAAAACATGCATTGTATATATATGCTTATATGCATACTGTTATATTTTATATTAATATATAACATATTCTTATACTAAGCTATGAAACATATTTCTATATGGAGGTATGTATTACACTTTGGCATGCAATATCCACCACATCATCGGAGTCCTTACCCATATCAACACTCACCCTCTTTCCCTCAACACTCATTGCCACAGGGGGTCATGCACAGCACCAAGCCACATCAGAGCCTCGAAGGTCCTCCGTGGCTTTTCCCTGGCCCTTTGCCATTCGTCGCCTCCGAGGACTTATTTCCTTTTCCTATACATGGCCACAGTGGTGGTTATCCTAGAAAAAAGATTTCAAGTCTGAACCCTGCTTATAGCCAATACTCCCAGAAAAGTATCGAACAGGCAGAAGAGGTTCACAAGAAAGATCACAAACCCAAAAAGTCTGGCAAGTACATTTGCCCTTACTGCAGCAGAGCGTGTGCCAAACCTAGTGTACTGAAAAAACACATCAGGTCCCATAGTGGGGAGTGGCCATATAAAACTTGGTTAGAAATAGCTTTAAATTTGTTATTGAGGCTTTCTAAAATCTTACACTTTTGTAGATTATATCCATCAAGGATTTTCCTTCAGATAGTTTTCTAAAGTTAAGAAGTATTTAAAAGAGTGCCCAATATTCAAACATGGAAGAGACTTATGCTTATGACTTAATGCTGAGTTTGAAATTACTATATATTAATTATGGAATTAACGGAATTGCAATAGAAATAAGTCTTTGGAGTAAAAAAACATTTCAAATTTACCTAAGTTCTGGTTGGTTAGTTAGGATTCGTTTTGGTTTCTTATTTGAAACTATTATAACAATCTCTTCATATTTTCTTTTTCTTCAGGTCATTTTATGAAACTGGCAATTGAACTTTGCTCCAGTTGATAGGCAGAATTTCTCCTAGACTATTCATCATCCCAATTTCATCCTGGTTGAAAATTTTCAAATGCCATAAGAAATCTCTCTGGATTTGCACTTAGCTTTTGGATGGACATTTCTACAATGGAGAGAACTGCGTTATAGCCCTGGTCCAAGGGACATTACTGTCTAATGCCCATCGATTGTGGTGTGCGTGTGGAAGGTTCCAAAGAGAAGGAGCAATCAGCAAGTTTGCAGACACCCTGGAACATGGAAGCAACCAAACTCTAAGAAGCACAGCTTTGGAGAGACACTCCATGAGTCTGCACCGCTTTCGGGGGAACTAGCACTTAAGACCTTGTGTAACAAAATGGACACTGGGGACACAGCTCTAGGACAAAAAGCTACCTCAAGGTCTGGAGAAACTGATAAAGCATCAGGTAGATGGAGACAGGAGCAATCAGCTGTTATTAAGATGAGCACTTTTGGCAGTCAAGAAGGACAGCGGCAACCACAAATAGAGCCCGAGCAAATAGGAAACACAGCATCAGCACAACTGTTTGGTTCTGGGAAACTGGCCTCCCCTAGCGAAGTGGTGCAGCAAGTCGCAGAGAAGCAATATCCACCGCATCGTCCGAGTCCTTACTCATGCCAACACTCACTCTCTTTCCCTCAACACTCATTGCCACAGGGGGTCATGCACAGCACCAAGCCACATCAGAGCCTCGAAGGTCCTCCGTGGCTTTTCCCTGGCCCTTTGCCATCTGTCGCCTCCGAGGACTTATTTCCTTTTCCTATACATGGCCACAGTGGTGGTTATCCTAGAAAAAAGATTTCAAGTCTGAACCCTGCTTATAGCCAATACTCCCAGAAAAGTATCGAACAGGCAGAAGAGGCTCATAAGAAAGAGCACAAACCCAAAAAGCCTGGCAAGTACATTTGCCCTTACTGCAGCAGAGCGTGTGCCAAACCTAGCGTACTGAAAAAACACATCAGGTCCCATACTGGGGAGCGGCCATATCCATGTATACCTTGTGGTTTCTCTTTCAAGACAAAGAGCAATTTGTACAAGCACAGGAAGTCACATGCCCATGCAATTAAGGCAGGATTAGTACCTTTCACAGAGTCAGCTGTATCTAAATTGGACCTAGAGGCTGGTTTTATTGATGTAGAAGCAGAAATACATTCAGATGGTGAACAGAGTACAGACACAGATGAGGAGAGTTCTTTATTTGCTGAGGCCTCTGACAAAATGAGTCCTGGTCCACCCATCCCATTGGATATTGCCAGTAGAGGTGGTTATCATGGGTCATTGGAGGAATCATTGGGAGGTCCAATGAAGGTGCCGATTTTGATTATCCCCAAAAGTGGGATTCCTCTTCCTAACGAAAGCTCTCCGTATATTGGCCCTGATATGCTACCAAATCCATCTTTAAATACTAAGGCTGATGATTCGCACACAGTCAAACAGAAACTTGCACTAAGACTGTCGGAGAAAAAAGGACAAGATTCTGAGCCATCGCTCAACCTTCTGAGCCCGCACAGTAAAGGAAGCACTGATTCTGGTTACTTTTCTCGCTCAGAAAGTGCTGAGCAGCAAATAAGCCCTCCCAACACAAATGCAAAGTCTTATGAAGAAATCATCTTTGGAAAATACTGTCGGCTCAGTCCGAGAAATGCCCTCAGTGTTACAACCACAAGTCAGGAGCGTGCCGCAATGGGTAGGAAGGGCATAATGGAACCATTACCTCACGTAAACACCAGGTTGGATGTCAAGATGTTTGAAGATCCTGTTTCACAGCTGATCCCAAGCAAGGGAGATGTCGACCCCAGTCAAACGAGCATGCTGAAATCCACTAAATTCAACAGTGAGTCCAGACAGCCCCAGATTATTCCACCCATCAGGAATGAAGGAAAACTTTATCCAGCAAACTTTCAAGGCAGCAGCCCAGTTCTCTTAGAAGCTCCTGTAGACTCTTCACCCCTTATTAGAAGCAACTCAATGCCAACTTCTTCAGCAACTAATTTAACTCTTCCTCCTTCTTTGAGAGGAAGTCACTCATTTGATGAAAGGATGACTGGTTCAGACGATGTCTTCTATCCAGGGACTGTGGGCATACCCCCGCAGCGCATGCTAAGAAGACAAGCGGCGTTTGAGCTGCCTTCAGTACAGGAGGGTCACGGGGAGGTGGAGCACCACGGCAGGATGTTGAAAGGTATCAGCACTTCATCCCTGAAGGAAAAGAAATTGTCTTCTGGGGACAGGGTTGGGTATGACTATGACATCTGTCGGAAACCCTATAAGAAGTGGGACGACTCTGAAACACCAAAGCAAAGCTACAGGGACATTTCCTGCTTGAGTTCTTTAAAACATGGTGGAGAATATTTTATGGATCCTGCGGTGCCATTGCAGGGAGTACCAAGCATGTTTGGAACTACCTGTGAAAACAGGAAACGCCGGAAAGAGAAGAGCGTAGGGGACGAAGAGGACACCCCCATGATCTGCAGCAGCATCGTAAGCACTCCTGTGGGCATCATGGCTTCTGATTATGACCCCAAACTGCAGATGCAGGAAGGAGTCAGGAGTGGATTTGCCATGGCTGGACACGAAAACCCTTCTCATGGTCACACTGAACGCTTTGACCCGTGTCGACCCCAACTGCAGTCTGGAAGTCCATCTTTTGGGTCAGAGGAGTCATCATCAGCCATTGATTCAGACAAGATGTCAGACGTAGGGGGCAGGAAACCTCCTGGAAATGTGATTTCTGTGATTCAGCACACCAACTCGCTGAGCCGACCCAATTCATTCGAAAGATCTGAGTCAGCTGAACTTGTGGCTTGCACGCAGGATAAAGCCCCTTCCCCTTCGGAGACGTGCGACAGTGAGATTTCAGAAGCCCCAGTGAGTCCTGAGTGGGCTCCACCTGGGGATGGTGCAGAAAGTGGGGGGAAACCCTCTCCGTCTCAGCAGGTGCAGCAGCAGTCCTATCACACACAGCCCAGGCTAGTTCGGCAACACAACATTCAGGTTCCTGAGATTCGAGTGACCGAGGAGCCTGATAAACCCGAGAAGGAGAAAGAAGCCCAGAGTAAAGAGCCAGAGAAACCTGTGGAAGAATTTCAGTGGCCCCAAAGAAGCGAGACCCTTTCCCAACTCCCCGCGGAGAAGTTGCCACCCAAAAAGAAGCGTCTTCGACTTGCAGATATGGAGCACTCCTCAGGGGAGTCCAGCTTTGAATCCACAGGCACAGGCCTTTCCCGCAGCCCCAGCCAAGAAAGCAACTTGTCCCACAGCTCCAGTTTCTCCATGTCTTTTGAAAGAGAAGAAACCAGTAAGCTTTCTGCACTTCCTAAGCAGGATGAGTTTGGGAAGCATTCCGAGTTTCTGACCGTCCCTGCTGGTTCATACTCATTGTCTGTCCCGGGCCATCACCACCAGAAAGAGATGAGACGCTGCTCATCAGAGCAGATGTCTTGTCCTCACCCAGCGGAAGTCCCAGAAGTTCGGAGCAAATCATTTGATTATGGGAATCTGTCCCATGCTCCTGTGTCGGGAGCAGCAGCCTCCACGGTATCACCGTCCAGGGAGAGGAAGAAATGCTTTCTGGTGCGGCAAGCTTCCTTCAGCGGCTCCCCAGAAATCACCCAGGGTGAGGCTGGCATGGATCAGAGCGTGAAGCAGGAGCAGCTAGAGCATCTGCATGCTGGCCTCCGGTCCGGGTGGCACCATGGCCCACCCACTGTGCTGCCTCCTCTTCAGCAAGAGGACCCAGGGAAGCAGGTGATAAGTCCTTGTGCCCCGCTGAGCTCGGGGCCACTGCACCTGGCCCAGCCACAGATCATGCACATGGACAGTCAGGAATCTTTGAGAAATCCCTTGATCCAACCAACATCCTATATGGCAAGCAAGCACTTACCTGAACAGCCACACTTATTTCCACATCAAGAGACAATTCCATTTTCTCCAATCCAGAATGCCTTGTTTCAGTTTCAATATCCTACAGTCTGTATGGTTCATTTACCAGCTCAGCAGCCTCCCTGGTGGCAGGCACATTTTCCACATCCCTTTGCTCAGCAGCCTCAGAAGAGCTATGGCAAGCCCTCTTTTCAGACAGAAATCCATTCGAACTATCCTTTAGAACATGTGGCAGAGCACACTGGAAAGAAACCTGCTGACTATGGACACACGAAAGAGCAGACCTACCCCTGTTATTCAGGAGCATCAGGGCTACACCCAAAGAACCTTCTTCCAAAGTTTCCATCAGACCAGAGCAGCAAGTCCACTGAAACGCCCTCTGAGCAGGTTCTTCAAGAAGATTTTGCCTCAGCAAATGCTGGGCCTCTGCAGTCCCTCCCGGGAACAGTGGTTCCTGTTCGGATCCAGACGCACGTACCATCCTATGGAAGTGTCATGTACACAAGCATTTCTCAGATACTTGGGCAGAATAGCCCTGCCATTGTCATATGCAAAGTCGATGAGAATATGACCCAAAGGACACTGGTCACCAACGCAGCTATGCAAGGGATAGGATTCAACATTGCCCAGGTGCTGGGGCAGCATGCGGGCTTGGAAAAGTACCCCATTTGGAAAGCACCTCAGACTCTACCCCTTGGCTTAGAATCCACAATCCCTTTGTGTTTGCCTTCCACCTCCGACAGCGTGGCCAGCCTGGGAGGTAGCAAGCGAATGCTTTCTCCAGCCAGTAGCTTGGAGCTCTTCATGGAAACCAAGCAGCAGAAAAGGGTCAAAGAAGAAAAGATGTACGGACAGATTGTGGAGGAGCTTAGTGCTGTGGAGCTGACCAACTCAGACATCAAAAAGGACCTCTCCCGCCCCCAGAAACCCCAACTGGTTCGACAAGGATGTGCTTCTGAGCCAAAAGATGGCTTGCAGTCAGGGTCATCTTCCTTCTCCTCTCTGTCACCCTCCTCATCTCAAGACTATCCTTCTGCTAGCCCATCCTCCAGGGAGCCATTCCCGCCCAGCAAGGAGATGCTTTCCGGTTCCCGGGCATCACTTCCAGGGCAGAAGTCCAGTGGGCCTTCTGAAAGCAAAGAGTCTTCCGATGAATTAGATATTGATGAGACTGCATCGGACATGAGTATGAGCCCGCAGAGTTCCTCGTTACCGGCAGGAGATGGTCAGCCAGACGAGGAAGGGAGGGGCCACAAGCGACCTGTTGGCATGCTGGTACGCATGGCCTCTGCCCCCAGCGGGAATGTGGCAGACTCGACTCTTCTTCTCACGGACATGGCAGATTTCCAGCAGATTCTTCAGTTCCCCAGTCTGCGGACAACAACTACAGTGAGTTGGTGCTTCTTGAATTATACAAAACCCAATTATGTGCAACAGACCACCTTCAAATCCTCCGTTTATGCTTCATGGTGCATTAGTTCCTGTAACCCAAACCCATCAGGATTGAACACCAAGACCACTCTGGCTCTTCTGAGGTCCAAGCAAAAAATCACTGCAGAAATTTATACTCTGGCTGCTATGCATAGGCCTGGAACTGGCAAGCTTACGTCGTCAAGTGCTTGGAAGCAGTTTACTCAGGTAACAAACATTGTTTTAGGAAGAACTCTGTATTGTGGATTTGATTGTTAAGCAGACTGCATAGGGAAGGATATAAGGCCTAAAAAAAAAATACAAGTAAAATGAAAGTCACTGTGGGGGCATCCTTCTCAGAAAGGCTGGCCTTATCCAGGAGTGGAAGAAGCCACTGACTACACTTGGTTCTGAGGTCTCAGGCGTGGTCCAAATCCTGACAGTGTCGCTCTCAGTATTTTCAGAAGGAAAAGCCTACACTTAATGTTTTTAAAATGTAAAAATGTGAGTGCCATGAAAGCCTCCACTGGGATCAATTCCCATGGATTATTTTCCTTCTGACCTTTGTAAGTTACCTAGCAGGTCTAATTTTCTTTGGATGAGAGGAATTCAGGGAATTGTGAAGTGGGCCACAGAGCAGAGAGAGGAGGTCGAAAGGAAAGATGAGGATGGAGGACTGAGCTTTGCAAATGCCGCAGGACTTATTCTCATCAACAAGACTTTTCACTAAAATTTGTTTTTATGTATCTGTCTCCTTCAAAAGTTATTTTTCCAAGTTTCTAGCTGGTTTATTCCTATGAGAACAATCAATGCCTTCCAGGTAAAATTATAAAAATATTAAGGGGCACTTTGGAATTTATGTTAAATTAGTAAGGAGGCAGATAGAGGATTTAAAAACACATTTTCACTTATATCAGTTGTTATTTTCCCTTCAATAATTTTTGAGACTGCTTCCCTAATTAGTATAGTTTTCATTTCTACTTCAGAACATAGAATATGTCTCTTAAGTCTCTGATAGCGTTGCACAGAGTGAGTGCTGAGTGTTTGTGTACATATATATTTATATATAAAATATATATTTATTTATATTATATATATATATAACAGTTCCTGGCCTTTTAGTACAGAATTTAGGATCATTTTGTATAACAGTTCCTGGCCTTTTAGTACAGAATTTAGGATCATTTTCAGAGATTATGGAAGAGTGGGAAGTACAGAAAGAGTCTTAGAGACTATGTCTTAGAGAAAGCATGTGAAATGATTCTCTCTTCTTGTCTTACAGATGAAACCTGATGCATCCTTTTTATTTGGCAGCAAACTAGAAAGGAAGTTAGTGGGAAATATCTTAAAGGAAAGAGGAAAAGGAGATATTCATGGAGATAAAGATATTGGATCCAAACAAACTGAGCCAATCCGAATTAAAATATTTGAAGGAGGGTAAGGAAACTAAGTGTATATGTAAAATGTTCAGTTATAGGTCAGAGTAAATGGTCCAGAATGTCTGCATGGAAAAAGTGCTGTCTAATCTGGCTGGGAGCTGAAAGTGAATTCCTTTTCTATTTACGTTTCTGACATCTGGCTGGTAATAGATAATAAATTCATGCCCTTGCTTTTGGGACTTGCTTTTCATGAAACTGTCCCCACTGGATATCATTCAAGGCTCTTCCTTAAATTTTCACACCTCTAATTTATTATGAAATCTACTAAATTGGTAGACACTGATGTCATCTAAGTTTGTTCATTCTTTGATCATTTTATAGATATTTGTTTTATTGATGGACATTTTTATTCTATTCTTACAAAAATCAGATCATGTACAATTGTGTATCATCTTCAGAATTAGTTAATTTGTTTATTTCTCTTATTATCTAAACCGGAGACTTTAATGCGATTTCACCAGTTCCATCAATATCCTTTTCCGTCCCAGGATCCAAGTCAGGATACCACGTTGCACTCAGTTGTCTTGCCTTCCCAGTCTTCTCTGGTCTATGACACTTTCTCTGTATTCAGGAATTTCTTTTCAAATGTTGAGTCATGAGTCATAGAAACGCAAGTAATAAGGTTCAAAGACTTTGTTATTTGTGTAATTAAGAAAAATTACACGTGTAATACCTTGTTTTAGATTTTGATGAAATGTATCTTTCATCCAGTCACATAGAAGGAAAAGCCTACACTTATGCTTTTAAAATTTAAAAATTTTGAAGTGTACCAACCACATTTTGAAGATTATGATGTAATTAGCCATATCTATACAAAAAAATCTATTATTTATATATTTTCATGGGCATGACTTTATTCCTGTTTCATTTGGAGGACAATAATGTCACTTGTTTGACTATAAAATGTGGAATGTTCGGTGAGGTGAAATAACCATTTCTCACCTAGCATTATTGGTTTGGAGATGGATTATTTTATTTGGTTCTCCCTTAAGTTTTGCCTCCTTTGGACGTCTAACATTTTCATCACTAAAACTATATACAATTATTATATATAGTCATGAATCTTGTCTTGAGATTTTTCGACATCCCCCATCTTTTAACACAAACAAGAGAAATATAGATTCTATCTTTCCTCGGAGACTGAGAAGTCCCTGGGACTGAATCAACCCTCTCACATTCAGCAGCCTTCATAGCAGCACACTTGTACCAATTGATTAGTGAGACCTTCAGATTACTCTATGCTTTGGGGAGTCCATCTCCACTGATGAAGGACACAAGTGAAAAAGCATATGTGAACATTTTATTGCTGTGCTTTGGTGATCCAAAAGGATTGTGCCCATATTTCATTTCCTCCTCCTGTAATTGCCCCCTGTTATGGGCTGTGTCCAAGTTACTTCTTAATCTGTGGCCCAGTTTATGCCTGGTGGTGACCAAGTGTTTTTTCCAAACCTTGTGTTACCTTCTCTTATTTTGGCGATTGCAAAGTGATAACTAAAAAAATGAAAAAATATTACTGACCAAAATTTTAAGTGTATATTGTCAAATTGATGGGTTTAATAATTTAGTTAAACATAGCTTTGAATTTTTTTCAAAATCCATCAATTGTCCTATCAAGTAGATTCATGGTCCTGTAGATATTGCATGATATTTTATTTGTATAGGTTTTTCTAATACATACATATGTTTTATACAGAATTTTACTGTATTTTTATTCTGGAAGCAAGTTAATCAGCTAAGACATTGAAAATAAAATTATACTGCTTGAAGACAAAATACATTTCCCATCACTATCATGGTGGGCTATAGTAACCTTGAGGTATCCTTCCTTGAAGAAAATCAGCTTTCTATAAAATTGTTTTAGTCTATATCCCTTAAGCAATTTCATCTAGTTAGGGGCAGAGAATAGTGAAATTTAAAGGTAAAATATATCTGCATCTTTAGGGTTTTTTTCTAGTCTATGGCAAAAGACAAAGATAAAATTCAAAATAATTTTGAAGAACAAATGGAAATCAACATTTCTGGTAAAAGGTAAAAAAAATTAAAGGAACCAAAGACATGCAAAATTGATTATTCATAGTTTTGATTCTATTTAATTCCCATCTGGATTGGTACTGACCAAAAAGTAGATAACATTAAGATTAGATGTGAATCCAGAACAGAGTTGGTATTTAAATATGTGGATGGATTTTCTTTCTTAAAATTATTCCAATGGATTGGATGACTGAAGTTAAAGTTGCTTTTATTCTTGTTTTTGGATTAGCTAGGATCAAATGGGAAAGTTTATAATGCTCTTAGAATGTCAAAAACTATAAATTTAGTGCCTTTATCTAAATGTACAGTGAATTAGGGCATTTTGCATGTCAGTTTACCTTTGGAAGTTATGAAAAGAACTCCCCAAAAGGAATATCTTTCCAAGAATAACATTAGACCCAAAATTCTAGCCCGGCTTTGACTTAAGAGATAATGGCAGTCATTGAATTAGTCCATATAATATTTCTGTATCCTATAGTCATGTTTTACTGTATTCTAAAATGGAATGGTTGAGCACTGGGTAGATTTCTTCCCTTGATTATCAAAGAAAATACCTAAGACTGTTTTTCTAGCCGATTTGATTAAGCAAGATGACCTCAGATACCCTTTCCAACATCTCTATGAAAGCCTTCTGGAAACAAATGCAAATTTGATTAAAAATAGAATCTCTAGTTTTCATTATGTAACAGTACCTTGAAGAAGCTAGTTGAAATTTAGACTCCACATTAGTACAGATTCATGGTCTTTGGAAGAGCAGATCAAATCTGTAGACAACAGTTGGTGAGCTGAGCTCACCCTGTGTAAACTAGAAATTTCTGACGCACTCTCGTGCCAGGATTGTAAAAATAGAGTAGGAACTTGCAATGAAGAATTCTATTATCAGTTATACTCATTTTAGCAAATTTAGAGGGTTGTATGTTTGTACATGCACATCTTAGATGATGTAATCTTAACAAAAGATACATGATGAATATACTGGTATGATTTTTGTAGGTCCCTTGATTGAAGACCATACTAGAATCCAATCCAAAGGTCTGCAAGTCTGCAACTCTTTGAGGTCTACATAAGTCAATTTGAACATCTATTTCCCAACTCTGTAAATTCATATGTAATAGTGGAGCCATTCCATTTTGAATTCCATGCAGCATTACATTTTGTTTACAGTGCCAAATCTATTATCTAGTTCTTTCAGCCATTTACCACATACATTTCACAGGCTTCATAGAAGTTGAAAAATTGTCAGTAAAAGACCCTCACAAAAATTTGCCATGCAGATAATTAGCTTTTGCTTTAACATAACGTGCTAAGAATATTTGAAAACATACTGGATTTCCCTTTTTAAAACAGGTACAAATCGAATGAAGATTATGTATATGTCAGAGGACGTGGCCGTGGAAAGTACATTTGTGAAGAATGTGGGATTCGCTGTAAGAAGCCCAGCATGCTCAAAAAACACATCCGTACCCATACTGATGTTCGGCCCTATGTATGCAAGTTATGTAACTTTGCCTTCAAAACGAAAGGTACAAGTCTGATTTGTTTGAGAGGAAAAATACTTCTCTCTGGCTATTTAGACTTCTGAGTACTATTTTATAACTAACCCTCACCAACAATAAGATGGTTTTGTTTGTGAAAAGATGATTCCACAAAATGTATTTTCTCCCTCAAGTAAGTGACCAAAGGATGTATGTGAGACTGTGAGGCTCCTTTTATGGCTTAATTAAGAGCAATAGACATAGGTCCAGGCCAGTTGTCTCCGAAGGAAGTGGGTAAGAATCGTCTGGATAGCTATGACTTCATGCTGGAAATGTTATGTGGTCTAGATAATATTTACACCAGTATTGAAATACTGCACATGCTGTGGTATTAGAGAAGCGAGGCAGCAGCTGGGAAAAAAACATGTGCTCTTGGTCAGTTTCAAGATTATAAATAATGTAGAGACCCACACATTCCCAGGTGGGCCCCTCCATCTACAGTTGTGTTAATTATGCATAGAAATTTGATAGCTTGTGTTCCCTGTTTTTATCAGCACAGAGACCATTTCTGACTCTCAGGACTTAACTGTTAGTCTTATAAAACTAGGACTTGCCTGGAAATTTTTTAAAAATCTGTTTCTGAGTGGGGCACAGCAAGTGGGCGGGGCGGCGGGAGGAGGGGGAGGGATAACACCTGGAGAAATGCCTGATGCAGGCAACGGTGGGGGCAGGGATGGAAACAGCAAACTATCATGGCATGTGTATACTTATGCAACAATCCTGCAGGATGCAGGATGTGCACACATACCCCAGAGCCCAAATACAATTTTAAAAAATAGAAAAAAAAAATAAAAAAGAATATTATTTCTCAAAATATCTGTTTTAACAGGTAGATTTATGTAAAAATATTTTACTCAAGGACGTTACTTTGGTTATATTTCTATTTTTTGTAATATCATGAAAAAGTTCATAAGCCTGGTATTCTCAGAATACAAACAGTAGTGAATTAGAGGTTGTTTGAATTTTGCAGAAGTGTGCTTTACCTTAGGTTTAGTGGATACTATAGACACTTCTCACCACTTTAAATTTGTGTAGTGATTAATCTGCTCTGATACCCCTCAAGAAAAATAAATATCAAGTAAAATAATCTTTGGTAGAGAAATGTGCACCAATTTTCTTTTACAGCTGAAAACCCTAAATTGCTTTATTGTTTCTAGAAGTGTAAATGGATAGCCTTCCAACATCTCTGTTTCTTTTTATTAAAAAGATATCTATATTACAGGAATGCCTCATTTGAAGCTGAAAAAAAGTGTGTGTTCATTTACATTTCAAAAAACCCCATATGGTCTTTTAAAAAAAATTAATTATTTTATATATATATATATATATATATATATATATATATATATATACATATATATATATATGTACAGTATTTTTTTTTAAATTGCACTTTAGGTTCTGGGGTACATGTGCAGAATATGCAGGACTGTTGCATAGGTACCTACATTGGCAATATGGTTTGCTCATTCCATCCCCCTGTCATCTATATCTGGCATTTCTCCTCACGTTATCCCTCCCCAGCCTCCCTACCCACCACTGTCCCTCCCCTAGTCCCCCGATAGACCCCAGTGTGTGATGCTCCCCTCCCTGTGTCCATATGTTCTCATTGTTCAACACCCACCTATGAGTGAGAACATGCAGGATTTGATTTTCTGTTCTTGTATCAGTTGGCTGAGAATGATGGTTTCCAGATTCATTCATATCCCTGCAAAGGACACACACTCACTGTTTTTTATGGCTGCATAGTATTTCATGGTGTATATGTGCCACATTTTCCTTGTCCAATCTATCATTGATGGACATTTGGGTTGGTTCCAGGTCTTTGCTATTTTAAACAGTGCCACAATGAACATATGTGTGCATGTGTCTTTATAATAGAATGATTTATAATCCTTTAGATATATACCCAGTAATGAGATTGCTGGGTCAAATGGAATTTCTATTTTTAGGTCCTTGAGGAATTAAATACTACTCACCTTTGCACACTCAAGCCTTTATATAGAACTTTACTAAGAGATTCCCTAGGAGATAAGAAAATAAAAACTTTGATTTTAGGACATACTGCAAATTTGCTAGTCATTACAAATAATATATATCTTCACTGGGCACATGAGTTTGCTGCAGGTATAGTTGTGGGAAAACTGGATGAAGAAATGACACATCTCTGGACATTTTTTAAAGTCAAATTAAGTCTGCCTCTGAATCATCATCTCCTCAAGGAAATCATTTATTCTTGGTCATTATTGGAGTTTCCTTGTCACCCTTTGGGAATATGCAAATGTCTCAGAATCAAAATGAGCAAAACATCCTGGGAAACCCTGCCAGTTTTCACCTCCAACTGAAATGCCTGTTGTCCAAACCCACATTGTCATCTGAGCACAGATGGAACGCCCTTGCACGACCAATCCCTTCTCCTTGTCTATGCCACTTCTTCAGGGGCCTCCCCCGCCAATCTCCTTCCCTCTCCTTGTCCTTATGCATTACTTCCGCAGCTCATGACTTTCACAAACTAAAGCCATGGTGGGATTGTTTCAGATTCAGATTTCTAGCTACAGACCTATTCTGAAGATGGGAGTCTAAAGCCTGACTACCCTTGGAATGGAGAGAAAAATGCAAAAAAAAGAAACACATACTCAAATCTAAACAAATCATCCTGACACGCTTAGCAGCCATACCTAGACACATCCACAGCATACTTGCACTTTGGCAGAAGCAGATTATTTCTATTAATTTATAGATACATTTCATTAATTTTCTAGATTTAAGGATTCTTGATGTGTCTGTAACATTTTTGAGCTCTTTTAAAAATTGTAGATATAAGTTTTGATAAATAAGAGCAGCGGGGGGCCTGAAAATATTTCTGTGTTTAGAATTATCACAACAGCATGTAAAATGTATAAATATATAAGCAATAAGTAAATAATACAGCAATATGAGTAAAATAATAAACAACAGTGTCCCAGTTTTAACTGTGGCTCATGCATGAATAGCAAGCTTAACACCCCTACAAGAGGAATAAACTATGCCAGTAGGCTGAGTTTTCACGGAGATTTCACAGAGCCCAGAGCCTTCTCTTAAAGTATTTGTTGGCACATTGTTAAAGCATTGTCAAAGGTACAGATAACATTATGGCTGTTTTCACTGAAGTAATGTAAAGGCTTCTTCCAACTGAATGAATTCCTGAATCACTTTTGATAAGTTATATGGCATAGAATTTGTGTGTGTGTGTGTGTGTGTGTGTGTGTGTGTGTGTGTGTGTGTGTGTATTTTTTTCTATAGATTCTAGGTCAAGGGGGATTGGATCAATGTTTTCAAAATTTTTCATACTTCATAAAGCAGTTATATAAATTTAATTTATATACACACACATATATACACATAAAATTGTATATGCCATTATCATTATAACATATTCAGCATGAAACCTTTCTTTTTTCTTAGCATGATAGGAGCCTAAAGATAAATAAAATAAAAATGGAATGCTGCTGCTCCAGAATTTTAGAAATTGCTCTCATAACACTTGCTAACATATGCCAGAAGGATAGATGCTAAATCCTGGAATAATGCTCCCTATGAGTAGTTAGCTAATTATTTGTATGGATCTTTCAATGCACTGACAAAGTTGGCCCTCACATTAGTTTGTATGTATTTTTCTTCTGAACGTTGAGGATCCTTGGAGGTTACTCTATAGCTGATCAATGACAGAAGGTCGGGGCCCAGTGGGTGTGCTGACAATATTTCATTCTGAAGTATCTCTGCGGTGTGTGGCTAGCTTGTGCTTCCCTGTTTATGTGGAGGCTCAGTACATCACAGATTCCATTATGTGCAGCTCTTGAATCCCACCCAGGAGGCTGATACACTGGATAAATATGAGATCCCGTTTCAGGCAGAAAAGTCTGGGATTTTCAGTCTTGCTTGGTGCCTACTCTTGGAAAGATGTGACCCTGGACTTTCACATTGCTTGCAGAATAAAGAAAATCTGAGATTGGGCCAAAGCTCTCAGGGATTGATATCTACCAGATTATTCTTCTTAAAGCTGAAGCAAGGGGTAGTGGCTAGAAACAAATTTGCATTACATGATGAATGTAATAAAATTAGTTCATTTCACACTGAATTTGGAGCAGTCATCAGCAGTTATTAATTTGATAACCAATTGATTTCTCTCCTTTTTTTGGTTACATTTTCAAGGCAACTTAACGAAGCATATGAAATCTAAAGCACATATGAAAAAATGCCTGGAATTGGGAGTCTCAATGACATCGGTGGATGATACAGAAACTGAGGAAGCAGGTATATCATAATTTAGTTGACAGACCTCTTCGTTATGCACACTGGAGCTCTGTGGCTTAGGTGGTAAAATAAGTTTAGATATTTTTAAAAAGTGATCTCTTTTCATTTTATTAAATACTAAATATAGGAAATAAACCTGACACATTGAATTTCTTGAAACCTACTGAGAAGTGCACTTCAGTTTTGACTCTGAAGGCAAAAAAGGCCTTACTATGAAAATACTTCTATTTAGAGCCATGAAGGGAATAGAATTGCACTTGCTTTGTGATGGCGAATTAGATTTTATGAGGCTTTGGGGGAAATTTGAAAAGCATTTTAACATGTTATTATACCAGTTAAGAAGAAACCAAGTAGGAAAACAAACAAACATCATTAACCTCAGTGGAGAACCTGGAGGTTGGCCAGACCCCCTGAGATACATCACTTAGACATACACTTGTACCTGAACTTGCAGAGACAGGTTGTTGCATTGGTTTTCCATCTAGCATCATCATTAACATCATCCATACTCACTTGTTGAGGATTTTCTGTGAGTGGGGTGATTTCTGAGATACAAGATCCTACTGTGGAATCTTTCTTGTAAGTGGGGGATGAAAAAAAAATAGATATATCAGAAGATAGAATGAATGCAGGGTCACACAGGTAAGTGTCTCATTTTATAGGAGTTCTCAGACATAACTATCTGTGGGCCCTAGGGATTGGCAAAAGCTTTTGGAAGGAGATGGGGCTTAAATAAGACCCTGACCTTGACGTTTGAATCTTGATCTCCATTATCTTTGTTCAATTGTTTCAGAAAATATGGAAGATTTGCACAAAGCAGTAGAGAAGCATAGCATGTCCAGCATTTCAACTGATCATCAGTTCTCAGATGCTGAGGAATCAGATGGTGAGGATGGAGATGATAATGATGATGATGATGAAGATGAGGATGACTTTGATGACCAGGGAGATTTAACACCAAAAACGAGATCAAGAAGCACCAGTCCTCAGCCTCCTAGATTCTCCTCCTTGCCTGTGAATGTTGGCGCTGTACCCCATGGGGTTCCTTCAGATAGTTCCCTGGGACATTCTTCACTGATCAGCTATTTGGTTACTTTGCCAAGTATTCGAGTTACTCAACTTATGACACCCAGTGACTCATGTGAAGATACTCAGATGACAGAATACCAGAGGCTGTTCCAGAGCAAAAGTACAGACTCGGAACCAGACAAAGACAGATTGGACATACCTAGTTGTATGGATGAGGAGTGCATGCTACCTTCAGAGCCTAGCTCCTCTCCCAGGGACTTCTCACCCTCAAGCCACCATTCCTCACCAGGTTATGATTCTTCACCCTGTCGAGATAATTCACCAAAGAGGTATCTGATACCCAAAGGAGATTTATCTCCCAGAAGACACTTATCACCTAGGAGAGATCTGTCACCCATGAGGCATCTTTCACCAAGAAAGGAAGCTGCATTGAGGAGAGAGATGTCCCAAAGAGATGTTTCACCAAGAAGGCATTTGTCTCCAAGGAGGCCAGTGTCTCCTGGGAAAGATATCACAGCAAGAAGAGACCTCTCTCCTAGAAGAGAGAGAAGATACATGACCACCATAAGAGCGCCGTCTCCCAGAAGGGCTTTATACCATAACCCGCCATTGTCCATGGGGCAGTATTTGCAAGCAGAGCCAATTGTATTGGGGCCTCCTGTAAGTATAATTCACTTGTCTTTCTAATACGTAAGTGGAAGCACACTGGTGCCTCCTGATAATGCACTGGTGTGAAATTTAGTATAGCATGGGTATCTGTCATGGGTGGAGTGAAATCTGGCTACTGAAAACAGCGGGGAGACATTTTTGTCATATGCCATTGTCAGTAACATGGCTGTGGCATTATCCAAAGTGTAGTATTGCATCAGAGCAGCAGTGCATTCCCAGTGGGAACAGGTGAGGCTATTCTGAAAGCTTTCCAAACTTAAGTAATTATAGACATGAGCTGAAGCCTTTTTGTAAGTAAAAAAGATGAAGGCTTTAGAATGGCATAACTGCATGGATGTGCACTCACAGGGACATTTAGGCATCACTAATATAACTCATCACCAGGTGAGGATTCTGATGCAGTTGGTAACCTTGACTTTCAGAAACTTTTATTTTTTTAATTTATGTTTTATTTATTTATTTATTGAGGCAGGGTCTTACTCTTTCACCCAGGCTGGAGTGCAGTGGCATGACTTTGGCTCACTGCAATCTCCACCTCCCAGACTCAAGCAATTCTCTCATCTCAGCCTCCTGAGAAGCTAGGACTACAGATGTGTGCCACCATGCCTGGCTAATTTTTTAATTTTTTGGTAGAGATGGGGTTTCACCATGTTGGCCAGGCTGGTCTTGAACTGACCTCAAGTGACCCACCTGCCTTGGCCTCCCAAAGTGCTAGGATTACAGGCATGAGCCAGTGCGTCCGACCTCAAAAACGTCTTTTTTAATACACTCATTACCTTGCCCATCGTGAGTGGACATGGGAAACTGGTCAGGGACAAGGAGAGGAAAGAATGACACACTCGGTGTGTTTATAAATCAAAGACATGAGCATGTCTGTTTTTCTTGCCATGACTACCGTTAAGTGCACTTTCTCAGTGGAAGCATGGACCCAAGGAGAATAAGAAGTCAGGAGAGCTAAGCGAGAATGTGCGGCAATTTCTATGATGTGCCTTCATTATAAATGAAAATAACAGTAGCCATCATAGATTACATTTAAGCAGTAGGTTTAATACAAATTCATAAAAAGACAACCAGTCCTGCCTGATTCCATGGGTAAGTAGACTGTGATGTCTCTTTCAGTTTGCATAGGATTTTAAAAAATGAATAAAGTATGCACTTAGCATAGACAGAGGCATGATACCTTTGGAATCTGTCTGCCTTGAATGCGTTTGATTTCCTGCTCTACTCTTTGTTTTACTCTCTTGCTCCGGATCTCTGTGTCATGTGCATCAGCACCATCTTTCACAGCCAGAGGAGACACTACCAGCTCCCAGCTCTGTTTTATCACTGCCCTGTCGGCCAATTTTCTCCCTCTCATCACCTTCCACCACCCTGAATCCTGAGCTCAGCCTGTCATTTTTTAACTTTAGGAAAGCTGCTGCATTCCTCTCCCCACTCCCTGCATGGCCTTTTCACAAGTCTGGTACCAACTTCATCTTGATTAAGCAAATCTTGCAGAAACATGTATAGCAATTGGGATTCTGTTAGCAACATCCCAGTGTTGGGTGCTGCTAATAGATTAGAAAGCTAATAAGACAAACAGGTACATTTCCACAGATTTTGGTGCTTTAGCAAAAGTAGGAAAAAGGGATCTTCTGCAGTTTGTGCCATTGCAGCCCAAAGAGAACTGTAAATTCCCTGGATCATGGGATACCAAGTCTGGGGTGATACGTGCTTTCTCTGGTACACCTGCAGTGATGCTGGCAGGGTGTGTTAGACAAGTCTCTCCTGCATCCCTGCAGCTCCTGTTCTAGCATTGGCCAGGTGGATTGAGAGCGGCATTTGTGAAAGAGTGGTGCATACTCAGTCAACTGCAAGCATGCAGTTTTTTCAATCAGAAAAACTAAGACTTTAGTGCAAACCTGCTGTGGTTATAAATAATTATAGCAACCCACAGTCAAATTGGGCAAAGGAATTGAAAGAGGGGGCTAAGGGAGTTCATGTGATTTTTAGATATATGCCCAGAAAGTTGGAGAGAGATGAGTTTTAGTAGTCACTCGGTTTGTAGCAGTTTTTTGATATTGGTTTGTTTTGTTTTTAAATACCAGATCATGGGTATATTTTATAATGTTGTTAAACTTTATCATTTATGACTCTTTTGGTCTATTACCTAGTTTAATTCTCTTTAGAGATCGTATAGCCTGCTGCATTGTTCATGTGATATGAAGGAATCCTCCCCGATGCAGGGACAGTTGGTCCCAAGCACTACCCACTTTATGCTTTCTCACACTGATGTGAAGGGACCTTATAGCCCGCTGTGACATAGTCATATTCTGGCTGTGTTTGGAGTGATGGTGATCATAGGAAACATAGGTTTGGAGGAAATGAATGAATTCAGTTGTGGATTATGTTAAGTATATGTCCATATTTATGTATACAGACATATACACATGTGTACCAATGTACATACACAGACATCTGTATACACATCTATATGCCACGTACCAGATCTATTACCCCACTCATCTCTTCAACAGTATGGCAGTAGGGACCTCTGGACGCAAATGATGAGAGGGAGGGAGGAGAGCAAGAGGCTTCCTGCCACCCTGTCAGTTCTGCCAATGCCCTCTGGTTAGTTTTAATTTTAAGATAGATGAGAGAGAGAGAGAGAGAGAGAGAGAGAGAGAGAGAGAGAATGAAAAGGTAAGAATCTTTTATCCATTTATTCAGTATTTACTGAATTTGAATTTTTGAGTCTACTACATGTGGTTCAAGGATGAAAATGAAATAATATTATGGCTGGTGGCCTTATCTTTTTTTTCAATAAATACATTTCCTTTTCCATTTTAAAACTTTTATAGATAAATAGCAGAAAGAAAGACAAATGTGTGTCCAGGTCCTCAGTATGTAGTGTAGAGGAGGATTTTGTCTAGTGAAACGGCCAACGTTGATTCCTATCCCTTGCTTTCTGTGTGATCCTGGGCAAGTCACTTAACCTCTTGGCCACAGTTTTTTAATTGGTTTCTGGCAGCCAGGGAGATGGTCCAGGCAGATTTCTGTCCCTGAAAGAACGTGCCATTCAGCTGTAAGGAATGTAGTGGGCAGACAGCCTCATGCTGGCGTGTTGGCACCTTCAGGACAGGCCTGTTTTCAAGCCAAGGCCGTGCTCTCCCTGCAGCCCCAGCCAGTGACTGAGCACAGATATGTCACCTCTCCCTCCTCTGCTCCTGCTGCCCCCAAGGAGGATCTTGTTCTTCTATGTCCCTCTCATCATTTGCATCTAGAGGTCCCTACTGTCATACTGTTGAAGAGATGAGTGGGGTAATAGATCTGGTACATGGCATATAGACGTATATATAGATTTCTGTGTATGTACATTTCCACATGTGTGTATATGTCTATATATATATATATATATATATATATATATATATATATGTGCATATACACTTAACACAATCTACCTTTGAATTCACTGTTTGCTTTTCTGTGACAAAATTTTTCTTACTGAGATTTAGTAAGATGGGACTTTGTTCACCACATTTTTAAGGCCCAAACTACAAAACAAGAGGATTGCAAATGGAGTAAAAACCAAAGTAGAGAAAACATATTGGAAGTTTCTTTGGAGGATGGAGAAAGGGTGAATGGGAGAAGAGAGAATATGTGGAAATGCCTGGTGGGGCTTGGAGTGCTGGAAGTGGCCACATGGTAGAAATTCTACTTGTACATGTGGCTCTGCGGTTAAAATCATTTCATTTCTGATCAGTAAAAGACTGAACTTGAAACATTGATTCGTAGCACCCACAAGATTTTATTGGATTTAGAACATGTTGAATAGTATTGTAGTTTTAGAAGACAAATCATGACTCCATTTGTCAGCCTGGAGTTGGGGATCTCATCTCAGTTTACATTATAGGACATCTCTCTCTGACTTCTGTTTGCTTCCTCAGTTCCCCAAAGATCCACATTCCGATTGGTTGTATGCAGTGGAGGTCATGGAATAGCCGCCAGAAGTAAAATGGAAAACTAGCCAAGCTAGATTTATTTTAAGCTTTGAATCTGTGATCGCTATGATTAAAAGAAAACCTACTTGATTATCTTTAAAGATTGTTACCATAGGCGTTGCAGGTCTTCCTTTCAAACCGGTGTTTGATGAAGGAGGCATGCCTTTTCCAAACCCAATCAAACACAAGGGGGATTTTGTGTGTGTGCAGAATTTAAATGATTCTTGTACCATAAAATTCTCACCTTTCCCAGAGTAGGAGGTCCTGGTAATGATAGTATTGATGATTACACCATTTCACTCACACTTTCAGGAGAACTCATGTTTCCAGCTTGCATATGATGTATCACAGAGCAGGGTAAGAGCTAAGCATCTCAGAGAGTAGCAGAAATCATAATCTAGATAAAACTGGATGAATCCTTAATGGAATAGAGCATACCTTAAGTTTTAGAACTGAAACACTCTTGAAATGAATTAGAACATTTTTTTTGTCTCTATCCTGGACTACTACCATAATGTACAGGTATCTATCTATCTATCTGGCTGTCTATCATCTATCTATCTATCTATCTATCTATCTATCTATCTATCTTTCTTTCTTTCTATCTTTGGTTCTCAAAAAATCGAAAAATAAATGAAGTCCTGTTTAGATGAAAATTAATTAAAAGAATGAATCACAGCAATTGAAAATGTGATAATATCATTAAAACATGATTTGACAATCTGAGTTGTATTTCACCACAGAAATAGTATGAAAAACAAATTCTCCATTTTCAGGACTGAGACCATGAAATCTGAAATTCTGGCTGAGCATTTTATGCATCCTTAATTCATTGACTGCCAACAAGATATTGAGGTGGAAATAATAATATGAACAAAAGAATTAAGATGTCGTCATCTTTGGTACCCTGCTATGGAGTTGAACATAAGTTGTTAACTGTCTGTAATAATAATGTTAACTACTTCTGTGATGGATAGTTTCCTTTAAAAAAATTATTATTGATGTGAAACTTAAATGGCCTTGATATGCTATTGGATGAAGAAGCTGGCCTTCTGCATTGAATATCTCCTGGCAGGAATATATTCCTTTAGACCACTGTCTTACACATTGGAGGGTCCAGTTTGTGGCCTCACCACCATTTTGTCATCTGTTCTGTGGAAAACTTTTTTAAGAAGCCAATTTTCAGGCTTGTCATTCCAATTATATACTCATCAACACTTAAGAAAAATATTAAAAATCTGTCCAGTACAGCAACAGATGGTAATCTTTTTATTTCTTTTTGAATTAAAAAAAAATCTTTGATTAATGTTTATTAGTGTTTTTTTGCTCAGTAAACCCTTTCTGCTAATTATTCATTAATTTTTCATTCTCTCTGATGAAAAAAAACAGAGCTGAAATGTATCTCTGTGCCCAGTGGAAAACACCCTGACTGCTTTATCACCTTGCTGTTTAAAAACAAAAACAACTTTTCACAGGCCGACACCTTTATATAAGGATTATAAAAGACAGCAGAGAAATCTATTTTGTCTTGAAAAATGAAAACTTGGTCAAAGGATTAGGTATTGAAGCCTATCTAGGTAGTGAATGTGTGAGTGGGTGAGTGATCTAATAGCTTGACCTAAGAATGAAGAGTAGCAGAATCTGAATGTCGTGCTCTCTTTGCTTCTCTGTGCAGAATTTAAGAAGAGGATTACCTCAGGTTCCTTACTTCAGTCTCTATGGAGACCAAGAAGGTGCTTATGAACATCCAGGCTCCAGCCTTTTCCCTGAGGGTCCTAATGACTATGTCTTCAGTCATCTTCCACTCCACTCTCAGCAACAAGTGCGAGCTCCTATCCCCATGGTGCCCGTTGGTGGGATCCAGATGGTTCACTCCATGCCGCCAGCCCTTTCCAGTTTACATCCTCCACCCACATTGCCCCTGCCAATGGAGGGCTTTGAGGAGAAGAAAGGTGCGTCAGGGGAGTCCTTCTCCAAGGACCCCTATGTGCTTTCTAAGCATCATGAGAAGCGAGGTCCTCACGCTTTGCAGTCCTCTGGTCCACCTAGCACTCCCTCTTCTCCTCGGCTATTGATGAAACAGAGCACTTCGGAAGACAGCCTAAACGCAACAGAGAGGGAACAGGAGGAAAATATACAGACTTGTACAAAAGCCATTGCCTCTCTCCGGATTGCCACAGAAGAGGCAGCTCTGCTTGGGGCAGATCAGCCAGCACGGGTGCAGGAGCCCCACCAGAACCCCGTGGGAAGTGCACATGTTAGCATTAGACACTTTAGTAGACCTGAGCCAGGTCAGCCCTGTACCTCAGCCACCCACCCTGACTTGCATGATGGTGAAAAGGACAATTTTGGTACATCACAGACTCCATTAGCTCACTCCACGTTTTACAGCAAGAGTTGTGTGGATGACAAGCAGGCGGACTTTCACAGCAGCAAGGAGTTATCTCCAAGCACAGAGGAGGGCAAAGATCCTTCATCAGAAAAGAGTCAGCTACATTGATCTGCGATGCATGGAGACTTTCATTTCCACATTTTCCCATTTTTTTGTTTTTGTTTTTCTAGAAATGGAGGTAATCAAGTTTATAGCATGCCTGTCCTAAGTTACAGTAGTTTGCTATTATATATACTTTTGTTATATCAAAAGAATTAGGTAAATTAACAAGTCATCATGAGCCTGACCAAAACAAAATTTGAAATTAACCTATTGGGTCTGGTACTTTTAAAATTGTACAGATGTTTGTGCCTTTTCTTTACTTTGCTTATATTCTTATAAGCATTTTTTAGCAGTAATTTGTACATATTTTAGAATTTGTGTATCTGCTTTGTAATAAATGTAATTTCTTTCCTTTTTTGGACACTTGGATCTAAATGATGTAAAGCAAAACAGCATCAATATATATGTGAGGTTGCACTAAAACATATTTTTATATGATTAAAACTGAACAGCTTTTATGTACAGCTCTGATTCTGTAATACTAATATTTATTTACTTTGTTTCATAAATTGTACATTTTTTCTTAATGTTGTGGATTGCTTTTCTATGTGAAGCATGGGATTTACTGTTGCGTAACTAGAACAAAAATGTACATTGTAAACAAGATATTTAAAGTAGAGTATCTTATTCTGCACTTACGCATTAGTTAAAAAAGAAGATAAAGGATGTATCAGTCAGTTCTTAACTCTTGTATATTTTTTTGTCTCTTGTTTGCTGGATTGACTATAACTTAAGTGCTGATTGTGATTTTAAAATGATAGTACCGTAAAGCATTAAAGTAAACAATGTGCTATTGTGAGTTTTTTCAAAGCTTTATAAATCAGTTATAAATAATATTAAAAGTATTTGGTCTTATGTGAACATGTTGATCTATATACTCATCTAAAAATATGGGAAAACATTCCACCCCATGTAAATATGTACAAGTGCATCACTGGTACAATTTTATGTAACTCGTTGGACACTAGGTTGCCACAGACCTATGCTAGGTGTCTTTAAAAAATCAAAGTGACAAAGCACATGGGACTGTGTAGAGCTTGGTTATCGGCCGGCCCGGTGGCTTGGCAGGCAGTGCTGTGCGCTGCTCACGGTGAAGACCTGGGCTTAGCAATCTCCTTAGTTCTTGCTACACAGGATGGCGACTGGAACTAAGGCTACACAGAGGGTCGCACTTGGACTCTGAGGGTTGGGTGTGGAAGGGGGAAAAGGGGTTGGAGACCTGCTCCCCAGCTCTTCCTGTCAGCCAGTTTACATGGGAACAGGGTTAACATCTGTGTTAGGGGAGGTCACCTTACCTTTTTGCACAGGGGAAGAGTGTCACACTCCTGGCTATCTCAGGGGGAATGGGGAAAAGAATCTTTTAAGGGCAAAGAACTCATGGGAGGATGATGTCTGTTGTATGGAATACTCACAATGGCTTTTGGTTAGTGTTGAAGGTGGGAAGAGCCTTTGTAGGTCCAGAAGAGTGGAAGAGAGGGAGGGATACAGCAACATGTGCACAGGCACGCACATGTGTGCACGCACACACACAATCTGGGTTATCTTTGTGCTATATAGTGGATTATAATTCTGTGAAACCAAGTTTGTATATTGAATTACATTAAGGAGTGTTCTTTAAAAAGAGAAATAAATATACAATTACATGCTTGAGGTGTCTAGTTCTTATGTGTTGCTTTACATTTTAATTTCCCAATTTTGTTTCTCGAGAAATTTTGATACTAGCAACATACCATCTGTGCTTTTAAGTGCTAGGCTCTGCCCATCCTGAGGTATGCTGAGTATGAATGCTTTTAACAAGTGAGAAGACAGTCGTTGGCATCCACAGGTCATCTGATCAGAACAAGATAGTGGTCACCAAGGTGTGGGCCCTAGAAATAAACTTATCCAAATCTCAGCATGGGCCTGGGCAGCATATGTTGCATCTGAACAGTCAGGAATAAAACAAATTATCATTCTCCCTTCTGCTTCCCTTGCAGTATGCATACTTATCTGAAATTCCACTGGAGAAACTTCTTTCCTTTTGCCAAGGTGGCTGAAGCTAAGAATTAACTGAAATATATCAGAAAATATCCACAAATCACAGTTCTTTTATTAGAAAGAGCAAAACGTTTTTAATAATAAAAGCAGAAGCTCATTAAAAGTCAAAACCTATTAGTATTTCCACTATAAAAATCTCAAATTGGTGGATTTACAATGTATCTATTTGCTTTTATGAGCCAGACTGTCTTTTTAAACTGTGCTTTACAAAGGTGAATTAAAGGTCAACACAGACACTCTAAGAAGAACCTTTTGATTATGTAGGGTGATTTGTGTGTTGTATTCCTCATTGTTTTGTGTGTATGTGTATGTGTGTGTGTGTGTGTGTGTGTGTGTGTGTGTGTGTGTGTGTGTTGGTGATCTCAGGCCAAATCAAATTACTCTGTTTCTTCCTCTACTTAATTCATCACTCATTTATTCATTCATAAAAGTTTTTGAGTGCCAACTACGAACTGGGTACAAAAGTGGGCATTTATTTTTATTTATTTTTTTGAGACAGAGTCTCAGTGCAGCCCAGTTTGGAGTGCAGTGGTGCAATCTCAGCTCACTGCAATCTCTGCCTCCCAGGTTCAAGTAATTCTCCCATCTCAGCCTCCTGAGAAGCTGGGTCTGCAGGTGCACGTCACCATGGCTCATGGTTTTTTGTATTTTTAGTAGAGATGGGTTTTCACCATGTTGGTCATCCTGGCCTCAAGTGATCTGCCTGCCTTGGCCTCCCAAAGTGCTGAGATTATAGGTGTGAACCAATGCTCCCAGCCCAGTGGTGGGCATTTAGAATTAATGAGGAGTATTCCTGCCACCAAGGAGCTCAAGTAAATAGGAAAGATATATGTGAGTAAATACAGATAATATGATGTTTGAGCTAAAATAGTTGCACATTTGGTGTGTTTTATAACCACAAAGGGAGTGAGCAATCATCTTGGAGAGAGCAATCATCCTGCTGAGAATGGAGAAAGGCTTCATCCCAGGGATAGCCTTGGAACAGATCCTCAAAATTGTATGTTGACTAACTTACTCAACATAGTTTTTCACCACCTACATTGGGGTACTTTTTTGTGTGCTAGGTGTCCAGCATGGCACAAAACATAAAATCCTTGCCTTCCATGGTGGCACGTGCCTGTAATCCCAGCTACTCAGGAGGCTGAGGCAGGAGAATTGCCTGATCCCAGGAAGCGGAGGTTGCGGTGAGCCGAGATGGCGCCATTGCACTCCAGCCTGGGTACCAAGGGCGAAACTCCGTCTCAAAAAAAAAAAAAAAAAAAAAAAAAAAAAAAAAAAAAAAAAAAAAAATCCTTGCCTTCATGGAGTTTATATTTGAGCTGAAAGGGCACTATAAAATAATAAGCAGAAAAGCACATGTTAGATGATCTGGGATGTGTAAAGCAATTAATGGGTAAAAAGCAAAATGTAGCTGGCACCCTGGGTATATGGCAAGGTGGTAGATAGTTAAGCTAGAAACACATATCAAAGTCCAATTTCCTAATCCAGCCTACAGGTCTTGTTCTGTAAGCAATGGAGAACCAAGGAAGGACTGAAGCAATAGAGTGGACTTGTTATCGTTATCACTATTTAGGGAAAAATAAAACGCTGTGGCAGCAGTGAAGATAAGGGAAATAAAGACAGCAACAATCCAGACATGATGAGGACCGGCAGAAAGAAGGAACAGTTTTGCTGAATGAACAGGAATGGCTGATAGCTAGACTGATTTGGTGCTAGAATGAAGGAGATGGAAAAGTTAAAGATGATAATGAGTTTTTAACCTGAACAATGGAATGAGGGAGGCATTATTCAGCCACAAAAGAGAGTGGATTTGTACAGAATGCTGGGAAAGAAATGAACTCTCCTTAGCAGTTCCAAAGGCGGTCAACCCCACACAAGAGAGGGCCAGAGCTGGAAACTGGTTTGTCAGTTCTTGTCTTTCATCATAGCAGAGAACCCTGAATTGGATGAAATTCCTCAGTGTATATAAAGGGGTAGAAGAGGAAGTCTGAGGATTTCCAAAGGTAGACAAGGAGCGTGGGGGCAAGCAAATATATACTTCATGGGAAAGCACATCTCCTCTGTGAGCCATGGGAAAGCACATCTCCTCTGTGAGCCTTAGTTATATAAATTGTTTTGGATTTCTGCTAACCTGATTTTCAGTATGTTCCCCGAGATAATTTCTAGAAAACAAAACTTTTAGAACATCATTTTCTGAGGAAAAAAATCCCACTATTTGTGCAATTATTTACTATTAGTTACTATTTTCTTAGTAGCATAATTGTAGCTTTATTATTAAACAATTAATTAGAGATTATTAAATTAACCTGTCATTTACAAAAGTCTTTTCCAAAACCTATGGTCTAGAGAAGTTAGGTGAAGTTTTCAAGGAGAAATAGGCAGTTCATTGCAGAATCAAGGTTAACACTGAGCTCTCAACTCTTTGTCCAGGTTTGCTTAAACAACAGTTTCTGATTATTTATGCTCTTCTCATTTAGATTAAGGTTTCAATCACAACAATTTACAGTGAAAGTTGTCTGATTGAATGAGCTCAGAATCATACAAAAACAACCAAGCCTGTTTCTGCCCTGGAAATGGTTATTAGTTTAAAATATATTACTAAATATGGTGACATCTATTTCACCACAGTGCAGTTTTTCCTCCCCTGGGGGCTGTTTGACATTATATAGTGGGTAAGTTCCCATTCGTTTACAAGTATAGAGAAACATGTGCTTACCCAAACTTTATATGCAACAATAAACCAGCTTGGCCATGCTGAAGAACAGGGAAAACAAGCAGAAAGTATCCTAATTGGTATTAAAGAGTATCTAAAGATGAACAAGAAGAAGATACAAACTCTGTTTTCTAGAACTCTCTAGAGGAATCATTTTATGCATACATACCCATTGCTCATCAGCAAGTAAGGCCACCTTCAGAAATATACGTTTGGCTGAGTGTGTTGATGTGTGCCTGTAATTACAGCTCTTTGGGAGGCTGATTCAGGAGGATTGCTTGAGGCCAGGATTTCAAGACTAGAAATACACATTGGTTATCAAAATGAATCATATCAACAGATTTTTCTCTCCATTCACTAAGTGCCTATAAATGTATTTCATATTCTGTACTAGATCCCTGGCTTGGTTTTTTATTTTTATTTTTTATTTTTTTGAGACAGAGTCTTGCTCTGTCTCCCCAGCTGGAGTGCAGTGGTGCTATCTAGGCTCATTGCAACCTCTGCCTCCCTGACTCAAGAGACCCTCCTACCTCAGTCCCCAGAGTAGCTGGGACCACAGGTCCCTGCCATCATGCCTGGCTAATTTTTTGTATTTTTTTGTAGAGATGGGGTCTCACCATGTTGGCCAGGCTGGTCTAGAACTTGTAGGCTTAAGTGATCTGCCTGCCTCGGCCTCCCAAAGTGCTGGGATTACAGGATTGAGCACCACATTCAGCCCCTGGCATGTTTTATACTTCAAGTAGATCCCAAGCTTTGTTACATTGTTGAAATACAAGTTCAATCAATATAGTTTGATGTGAATAAAATTTCATTTTGGCAAAATTATAATAAAATGATTAATGGTCATACATTTCCTTAATTCATTAAAAGTCATATTAATAAATAAAATATTTTAAACTGAAAACCTTTCTATTAAAAAATGCCACTGGACCAGGTAGCTATTTTTTCCTATGTGTTATTGTATACAAAATCCCACTTTTATCTAATGATGTTAAGTATTCTTTACTAGCCCTGTTATAAGTGCTTTCATTTATTCCCTCACTTAATAGTCACAAAACTGAGAGAAATCATTGCTTAAGTTTTTCCAGCTAGTAAAGAGAAGAGGCAGTTAGGCTCTAAAATCGGTGCAGTCCAGTAGAACTTTCTGAAATGGAAAAAATGTTCCATATCTGCATTTTCCAGTGCAAGAGCCTATAGCTACACATGACTGTGGAGCACTGGGAATGCAGCAAGTGCAGGTGAGAAACTGGAATTTTAATTTTATTTAATTATATTTAAATTAAACTTCACATGTGTGCGGTGCTTCCTGAACTGTCAGCCACCTGCAGGCTGCACTCTTCCCCTGTGCACAGCCCGTACCACCCACCTCAATAAGCACTCACCATTTGACAAATATTGAGATTCTTTCACACGCTGATTCTGTTCTTGGTGCTGGAGCTAAACCAAAGAGCAACAACAACCAAACCCAAAAACCTGCTATCATAGAACTTGGGTTCACTGCTTATCACTAAGTATCTAGTTAAGTGTTTTGGTGATACAATCTCATTGATTGCTTCTGTTTCCATTTAGTTTTGGACCTTGGAACTCACTCAAGCAGTAACAACCAAAGCATGCTTTTCTGAAGAAGTAAACAAGCATCTCACAGGCAACTCTTACTCCTCCTGCCAGAAATCTGTTAAAAGCCAGGATGGAAAATCCACCCCATTCTCAGGACTCCTGCAGGGTCTCTCACCCCTGCCTCAGTATAAATCCGTTTGCCTCCCTGAGGGCCTGAGAAGAGAGAGATGCAGCTGGACTCTGCGAGGGCCCTGACTCCCCTACTGCTTCTGCAATCGGATATGGAGTCTGTGAAGAGAGCGCCCTGGCCCCTGGAAGCCTTGCCTTGCTGTTCTGCTGAC